TATTATTAATTTTTCAATATTATTATTATACTTATTGTCATTGTTGTTGTTGTAGTTCTCCTCCTCCTCCTTATTATTATTACTATTACTCATGGCTTTACTTTGTGCGTGTCCTCAGATCAAAACTATCCTGAGCGGTTTCATCATCCGAGGGTACCTGGGCAAGTGGACACTGCTCATCAAGTCTGTCGGCATGATGCTGGCCGTGTCCGCGGGTCTCAGCCTGGGAAAAGAAGGGCCGTTTGTGCACGTGGCCTGTTGCTGTGGCAACATCTTCTCCTATCTCTTCCCCAAGTATGGCCGCAACGAAGCCAAGAAAAGAGAGGTAGGCTGTTGTGTCGCATGTACTTTTTAAAGTTTAAAAATAAACTTTAAAAAACTAGATTTATTGATGGAATTTGCTCAAAGTGATATTATGAGTTCTTCCACTGTGAAAATAGAATGTATTAACATTTGTTTTAATATTTACTTTGAAAAACAAAAGAAACATTTTGTATGATGTAAAGGTATAGACATTACCATTATCTTCATTATCTTACTGTGTACAATGGCATATAAAAGTAACTTTTTATTTAAAAAATCAGGTCTTCAAAGTCGCGTTGCGTCTTTTCCACAACACGAAATTAGACACTCTTCCCCCCCCCCCCCAAAATAAATAAATAAATAAAGTGGAGGCCAGCCAAGGGAATTAACTCTACGGTCAGGTAATTAGTAAAATATGACTTGAATGTCACGGCTGGTGCATGGAAATGAATGAAATGAATGGTGACGAGATCAGAGATCTTTTTAATAGTGACAGCGGTGAGGAATGCTGACAATTTCAACAGTTTTTCAACATTTTTATAATTTTAATTTTTAACAGTTTTTCAACCACATTTTAATAGTTTTTATACAATGCATCGCTACAAAGGTGATGCTGCTTGCCAGGAAAAAGTTGATAAATATGATTTTTGTCAAAATTAAGTCTACCAGGGTCATACCCATGCGTGCATCCAACAAGCAATGATATTCAGTAATTGGCTTTTGGGTGAAATCTGGTCATTGTTTTGCTGACTGGCTGTTCGCTACGACTCAGGAACAGAAATTCCAATGTCACTATTTTATTCCCAGATTTTTGTCTCAGCAACAGACTTTTTAACATCACTGTTTTGTTCCCAGATTTTGTCAGCAGCCTCAGCAGCAGGTGTTAGTGTTGCTTTTGGTGCTCCCATCGGTGGCGTGCTCTTCAGCTTAGAGGAGGTGAGTACACTTGTCACTTGTTTAGTCTCTTTTCTGCTTTCCAAGTCATGAGAAAAACCAGTAGGTGTAAAAAAGAATAATTTATACCATCATCATTACGAACCGTTCAGACATTTTCAGGTTCGCTAGATACAAGATTAACTTTATTTTGCATGTCCATTTGCCTGTGACTATTTGTGTATGTTAATGTGTGTGTGTGTGTGTATGTTTCTGTGTATGTGTCTGTGCATGATAGAAACAGAGAGAGGGTGTGTTGACAAGTGCGTGTATGTATTCACCATGCCACAGCAAATTTCTTTCCGTGTCGATCAATAAATTGTTATCTTATCATATATTTGACTTTTACTACTCACCCCTGTACAAAGGGTGCATCACCACTATCTCAGTCACTGTCGTACTTGCCTGCTGTAGCCCGTGGAAAGTAATGGATATCTCTTAACTCCACAATCTCCCCCCCCCCCCCCCCCTCATATTGTTGAGCTAGCGCGGGCGGATTTGGAAGTTTAAAAAAAAAATTTTTTTAATAAGAAAACGACGGAAGTTTGTTTTACATAGCATGTCCTTTTTAACTCTTTAAGTTCATAGCATTTACATATCTTGGATCAGCAACAGACTAAAGGCAACGTTGTGGCATATTTCGAATCAGAAATTTGGCTTTGCCCAATTGTTGTCATCGATCCAGAATTTGCACATTTCATAGTATGCATGTTGTTGCCTCCCCTTTTTAAGATTTTGATAAAGAAACCAATTGGAAAATCCTGTATGAATAATGAAGGTATTTTTTTGTTTTAGTAGAGGGTTTTATGGTGCTCGCAAACTGTATAAGGTCATATGAGCGCCAAATGAAAGTATGCTTCTTTTTCAAGGGCCCACAAACAGCACATCTTTAAGCATTGTCAAATTACCAGAATGTATATGGGTCAATGCCAGTGGGTTAATGAAATGTTAACCAAACTATGAACTATGTCTGTTTGCTCTACTCCCCCCCCCCCCCCTCCCCACCACCACAGGTCAGCTATTACTTTCCCTTGAAAACCCTGTGGCGGTCGTTCTTCTGTGCGCTGATCGCAGCTTTTATCCTGCGCTCCATTAATCCTTTCGGGAACGACCATCTGGTCATGTTCTCCATCGACTATGACGAACCATGGCACCTGCAAGAACTTATTCCTTTTATTCTTCTCGGAGCTTTGGGGGTGAGTCAAGAAATTTCTCATCTTTGATGTTATAATGATGGTCATAATTAAATAAGAGTTTACATTGATTTTAATATCATTGCTTTTCTTATAAGACCAGTTAACCCCAGTGGAGTGAATGTTTCAGAAGCGTTTCAGTTTCTGAGCTGTTATATTCACATACCTTGGAGCTCATGTCATTATTTTATAATAACAATACTGTGCATATATGTCTTTCTTTCTTTAAGGATTGACTTTATATGGTGTAAGAAAGTTCCAAAGACTGACTTTACTGTAAGATTTCATTGAGTTGCCTTGGATTACAGTGCTTTTGGAGAGTTGAAAAAAATAATGACAATGATAATAAATAGTAGTTTTATATTGAATATCACTGCTCAGCAGCAAACTCTATGTACTTTACAATCTAAACTATTAGCCCTGTGAACACTAGAACACTTTGATACCTTCTCAGCTCCCCAGTAAGCACTCAATCTGTGCAAGCAGCAGATTAAGCTGTCAAACACAAACTGGCAAGCTACAGCTGGATACCCATTCCCACCTGGGTTGTGAAGTGAGGAAAATTTGTGTTAAGTGTCTTTCCTAGGGACACAACATTGGGCCCGTGATAGGGTTTGAACTCAAATCTTGCCCTTTCGGTAGTGAACCCAATGCATTTACATAAATATATGTATATAACCACAAGACCACCGCTGACACATATTGTTTTCACCACTTTACTTGCATATTTATTTATGTTTTATTTATAAGAAAAAAAAACCAAACGTACATTTTTCTCTTCTGAACCCAGGGTCTGTTCGGCAAGTTTTTCATCAAGTTCAACATCATGTGGTGTCGCTACAGGAAGTTCTCCCGTCTCGGAAACTACCCAATTTTTGAGGCAAGGCTGGTGGTTGTGTCTTCTTTTCTTGTGTGTCTGTGTGTGTGTGCGTGTGTGTGTGTGCTCGCGCGCGCATTTGTGTGTGTATGTGTTTGTGATTGTCTCTTTCTCAGGCTCAGTCTCTCTCTGCATCTTTTTCTGTTGATAGCTCTCTCTCTCTCTCTCTCTCTCTCTCTCTCTCTCTCTCTCTCTCTCTCTCTCTCTCTCTCTCTCTCTCTCTCTCTCTCTCTCTCTCTCTCTCTCTCTCTCTCTCTCTCTCTCTCTCTCACTACCCAATTTCTTATACAAGGCTGCTTGATGTTTCCTCTTTTCTGTGTCTCTGTCGTTCTCTCTCTCTCTCTCTCTCTGTCTCTCCTTTTCTCTCTCTCTCTCACTCTATCTCACTCAGTCTCTTTCTTCCATACTCCCCCCCCTCTCTCTCTCTCTCTCTCTCTCTCTCTCTCTCTTTCTCTCTCTCTCTCTCTCTCTCTCTCTCTCTCTCTCTCTTACCGTCTCTGTCTCTCTCTCCCCCCCTTCCCTACAACTCAGCTTCTATAAACCCTCAGGTTCTTGCTGTGACCTTCATCACGGCTCTCCTAAGCTACCCCAACCCGTACACCCGTATGAACACCAGCGAACTCATCAAGCTTTTGGTCAGTCGCTGCGGACCAGAGGATGACGTAGAGTTATGGTGAGTCGCCCAGATTTTTGTCGCCTTTTTTTTTTTCACCTTTTTATTTCAGAGTGACTTTTCTTTTGAAGTCAACCGTTCGGGATTTCACGTATTATAGTCTTCTTTTGTAATTTCAACGTGTTTTTATCCTTTCTATTTCAGAGTGTCATCATTTTTTTTATAAGTAAAAAATTAGGATTCTCTCTTACTGTCTTTTTCTTTTGTAATATTTATTGTCAACGTTTTTTTACCCTTTTTATTTCAGAGTACCATTTTATTCCTAAGTTAAACATTTACGATTTTCTGTTATTATCTTTTTGTGTTTGTAGTATAGTATATCTCTTGTTTAATATTCTTATTGTCAACGATCTTTTACTCTTTTAAAATCAGAGTGCCATCTTAGAAAGTTAAATATTCAGGATTTTTACTTCTTATCTTTTCTTTTGCATAGCTTCCAACCAGTACGTATAAAAGATAAAAACAAACTAAAAGAATATGTTTTCTAACAGGGAAATGAAGAAGAACACACAAAACAACTACCAAAAAAAAGATCCCCAGAGAAGATATGTTTTCAAGAGTATAAGTACGGAAGTCCGTTTTTGTGTCGAGAAAATATGTATTGTTTATTTTCTAGTATTGCTTCTCACAGACTGACATATCCTTTAGAAAGATTATGAACTTTATAAGACTGGATTAACGAATGATGGTTAAAATAGAATGAAGGCCAAAAGTCAAAGGTACTTGTGTTCCTTACCGTTTCTCACTTTATTATTGCATGTCTGCTTAGAATAGTTTAAGACAGTTCACTGTGTGCAGAAGAGTTTGTGAGAAGGGTCTTTGTGGGGGGTAAAGACATGTTTTGTTTTTGTGTTGTTTTGGGGTTTTTCCTTTGAGTCTTTTTTTTGGGTGGGGGGGGGGGGGGGGGTTCATTTTGAAATGTTGGTAGGTATGCTTTTGTTGTACAGTTTATCTCTTGTTCGGTGTTGTTGTTGTCAACATGTTGCGACTGTATGATGAACAGGTCACCCAGAGACAGGTGGGGAGCCTTTCTTGGTGGCTTAAACCCAGTAGCAGGGTGAAAGAGGTAGATGATGATCATCATCATAATTTTGTTGATGTGTGCTCTTCTTTACTCAAACGAAACCTCAAAGTCAGAACTCCACTTTCAGACTGGGCATTTGAGTTCTGGATGGATGAATTTTTTTTCTTTTCTTTTCTTTATTTTTAAAGATTTTTTTTTTAATTGAAGAAGAAAAAAAATTACTTACCTGCCCCATCCCCCACCCCCACCCACTTAACAGTAATAAAACGATAATTTAACGATGACATAGTTAGGATTATTTGCAGCTTTCCTTCCCTTATTGTTTATTGTAATCTGTTATCCATTTTTGGTGTACGTCTTTGTTTTCATTTCATGTGACCTTTTTTTTATGAGTTATGTTACTAATTTGTTGTGCCTCCTGAAGCCAAGAGAGGAGCATGCAAATGCTTACAAGTTTTGCAAGTGAAAATAAAGCATTTTAGATGTACCAAAAATGTACAAAATGTGACATTGACAGACCAACTATTATTACCATTATCATTTGGCGTCGGTGGTCTCGTGGTTAGGCTACCGGACTCGTAATCATGAGGTTGCGGGGTCAGGGGTTCGAGCCGCGGGCCCGACGTTGTGTCCTTGGGTAAGGCACTTTACACTTCACCCAGGTGGAAATGGGTACCCGGCCATAGACAGCGAAAGATCTTGTCAGTATGTTAGTGTTTTAGCGCCTATAAATGGCTGCTTGCACTGTATGCTTCCCATGAAGTTGAGTTTGTTTCAGAATGCTCTCAGGTCTGCAGGGGTAATAGTATAGATTGTGAAGCGCATAGAGCTTGCTGTTGAGCAGGGATTTGCGCTCTACAATGCTATCTATTTTTAGTAGTAGTAGTAGTAGTAGTAGTAGTAGCAGCAGCAGTAGTAAGAGTGTTCTTATTCCTATTGTTGTTGTTGTTGTTGCTGTTATTGTTGTTGTTTTGTATTTGTTCACACTAACATGTCACAGCTTCACTGATGTTTTTGTTTTATTTCTTCAGCAAAAAACATTCCCCCATAAACAGGTGGTTTGATCTGTTTTGATTTCTTTTGTTTGTATTTTTCCTTCCTCTACTTTTCACCCTTCTCTCAGTACAGTATACATTAATGCCACCTTTTTCATTACCGTCATTTTATTTTTTTAAATGTTTGTATACACTCTTACTTTATATGAGTATGATATGTATCTCTATGCTCATTTATATTGTTTGATTGGTATGTTTTAATTTTCATGAGTTTGGTATGTGTATGGTATGACATTTTCTGTTAGTCATGGTTATATATTTTTTTTCTTTTCAGTTATTCCTTTTTTCTTCTTCCTCTAGATAATGTTTAATGTGTTTCTGTGATGGAAGAATCATCATTCTTGTTCATAATTTCAGTTTTGACGTGTAGTTTCGATTTTTGATTGATTTATTTTTTATTGACATAGAAGGTGGGGGTGATGGTGCGGAAGTCACAAATTGAAGAGCGTTTTTTTTTTTCCAAACTTAGTTCAGTCCACTTTTGACGACAATCTATTTTAATTGGAATTGAGTCCGTCATTATGACAGCTATAATTATAGGGGGTCAAATTATAAATTTTCAAACCCTGCTCAGTCTTTCACTTTTGTAAAGAGAAAAAAGTGACCGCTGTCACACGATTTTCTGCTGGGTCTCGCCCGGGTTGGCCTACTTTTCTCTTTTATGACCTTATATATTGTTGCTAAAGGTGTGAAAACTAAAAACAGCAAGGACAATGAGTTTATATGTACAGTATGGATCTACTTTCACTCATTTTCACAACTTGAGTGAAAACGGTTCATTTGTGTTGTTGCTGGGTGCCCTTCCAAAAAAGGACATTGGTATATATTATTATAAAACTAATGTTGAGTATGCTTAGGGATTTAACACCAGGGGAGCACTATTATTTAGGATAAATTGATGGAACATTTTTGTTTCAGATTTTTTTTTTTGGACCCATGAAAGTGGAATTAACTGAGTTAAGGAGGAAAAAAAACGCTCTTCAATTGGAAATGGTGTTGAAACGTCTATGGTACAACTGGTATTTTTCCACACATCTTGTAAGTGTAGCGTCTGTACGCAATATCTCACAGGGAAAAGGCACTTTAGGAGGAACTGGGCTATTTGAGGGAAAACATGGATCTCACTAGAGGAAAGCCGATGCTCATGTATCTCACTCTTGGACTTGAGGGCTATTGTATTTTGTATGAAGATACAGGCACACATATGTATACACACACACACACACACACACACACACACACACACACACACACACACACACACACTCACACACACACTTACACACACACACACACACTCATACACACATATATTTATATATGTATGTGTTTACTGTATACAGTCTAGCATGTATATTGCGAACACGTTCAAAGTGCACAAATTTTCAGGTCCCAATCGTTTTTTTTTAATTTAAAAAATTGTATATAACTTTAAAAAATTCTGTGTCCCCCCCCCTGTTTCGCTGTATTAATGCGAGACTGTATACATGTTGTAACCAAAATCATGACATGTGGATACACAGGGTATTTAGGGTATTTGAGGGGTGTGTGGGTCGTTACATTCGTTACAGTCATTATAAAATATGTAGTGGGAGTGGTGTGTAGAACTGATCCCTTGTCTGATGAGTGGAAGGTATTTTTCTCACATTTTTTTTAAGGCGTGCTCATATAAACTCAAATGTCTTGTCTTCCATATATTAGGAACTATTTTTTTTATTGTTCTAGAAACGCCTTCTTTCTGCTGGTGAACATACATGTTGATTCATTTAAATATGAATGTAGAAATGTAATATAAGTAAAACTGGGGAGAGAGGGAGGGGGAGAGAGAGAGGGAGGGAGAGAGAGAGAGAGAGAGAGAGAGAGAGAGAGAGAGAGAGAAAGGGTCTCCTTTGGAGCTATGTTTTTTTTTGTTCTGTTGTAAAACACATTGAGCACTCTGCTCGTGGAAATGGTGCTGTATAAATGTCATCTATTATCATTATTTGAAAGGTTAAGAATGTTTTGGTGTCTGTTTATACTTCTTGGTGAGATATAATATCTTTAATTTTAAAAAAATATTTTTTAACTTTTCTCTGTCTGAAATTTGATACTAAAAATATTTTCTTGGAATCTTTGCATTTTATGAAACAGACATTTGTATGTTTTTGAGCTTGCTCTTACATAACAAATCCTATGTCATGCAGTTTATTATGCTTCAGGTGTTCAAGATTTCAAGTAATAACTTCTTGAGCCGTTTTCAAACTTTTGAATGACTTAGTAATGCTCATTTTTTATCCGTTTTTATGTAAGTTTTTCAATAGCATCCTTTTGTACGTGACTGAGCATGTTCATGAAGCAGTTTAAAGGCTGTCCTTTATTACCTTTCTGCTGTTCGCTTCCCTTCTTCTCTTCTAAGTTTTGCGCCCACAGAGCTGATCGACGTTATGTCTGATTTCGTATGTTCCATGAAAGTGGGTGGTTGGTGGGTGCTTTGGTGTAGTTTGCTTCTTCTTTCCTATCAAACATCTGTCGTCCCAATCCCCTCCTCCTTCTTTTTTGTGTTTGTTACTCTCTTGTAACACCTCTAATTTTCGGCACTTACATAACCTCATTGTATTGCAAGTGCAGTAAAACTCTTACCAAAACGAAACATTCCATGAAAAATGACACCAACTAGAAATGAACAGAATAGTTCTTCCGAATGTCTTCGCGGTGTGACTGATTGGGGACTTTGGGCATCACGTTAGTCCATAGATATTTGAGTGGTAGATCATGTGACTAGTATAATGGTAAATGCCAAAAATCATCTGCCAGCTGTTCAAATGTTTTAAGCCCAAAAAAGCAAAATGTTTCAGTTGAGAGAAAAATCCTGTTTCACTCTTTGAACAATTTTACATTACAAATTACATACATTATGTATCTTTTCCTGCTGTTATTTTAACATTTAAAATTTAAATTTCGACAAATCATTTCATGAGCTCATGTATCAGATATCAGAGATTAATTAAGAAATTGCAAGTTATAAAAATAGTTTTGCACTTTTGGGCTTTGTGCATGTGAAATATTTTTTTAAATCTTGGGCTTTGTGCATGTGAACAGCTGTTTGACGGAATGAATATTCAGAATAGCTGTTGTTAACACTGTTTCCCCAACTTGAGTGAATGCTGACTATGAGCGATTGTTTAAAAACAAGTGTTCAAGTGACACGTTGTGCGACTAGTCAGAGCGCGTAGCCATTAGAAGGTTTGACCAACTAACGCTATCGCTACCTCAGAATTACAAAGTTCTATCTGACATTTTTGGCCGTCTTGAGATACTACGACGACGAGATCAGAAACCAAATGTTCTATCTGCTCTATCAAAATTGTACGATTATTCAGAGTCATTGTCAAGATATTTTTAAAAATTGCATGAAAAAATATTGACGTGATGTGAAGCTCAACATTTTTCACGTCAAATTTCTCAAAACTAGGTACTGAGCAGATAGAACTTTGTACTTCTGAGGTAGCGGTATGTTGAGGCAGATAAGCACAACTTTTTCTGAAAGGAGATGGCGCGGTGGTATTTATGGTCATTACAAGTCGCTTGCTGTTATTTGCTTAACTTTTCTCTCTTTACAATGCTAGCCAGGTACCTGCGATGGCTAGCAAGGTTTACAACTTCTCTTCCTCCTCGGATGTTTAAGGTCATCATCAGTTCATGGTGGACAAAACTACATTTTTCTTCTTGTTCTTGTTCCTTCTTCTTGTTCTTGTTCCTTCTTCTTGTTCCTTCTTTATCTTCCTTCTTCTTCTTCTTCTTCATCTTCTCCTCC